TTCCCACTGCCCAGCTTTATTCTTGGTTACATGCATGTGTGGAGCCTTACATATGCATGCAGCATCTTGCTCCTGGCAGCCCCAAGTAGGACCTCTTGCAGACTAGAATGCTGCCCATCTGCAAGGGGAACCCCACCGTTTCCCAAGGGAACCCAGGCATCTGAGGGATCCAGACCCATGAAGGAAAGGGAGCCCAGGTTTGCAGGGCCCTGGCCAAAAGGCATAATTATCAGTAAACATTATAAAAAGCCGAGAATGTCATTTCCCCTTTTATCAGTGCTGATCCCATAGGCGCCTCTACTCACTGCTCATATCTTTTGCAGTGACTTGTCAGAGGAATCCTGCTACTCATACAATGCTATAAAATTCGGAAAAAAGCAGCTGGGAACTCCTTTATGTTTCTTGATCTGCAATGTTCTATGTAGATCAATAGAATGGTCTGGAATGAGGGAATAGTCTTGGGATCATATGACTATGGAATCATATATGGTTAACTTCATTACTCTGCCTTCTGCCGAGTCCTTCAGATCTGTAGGAATTAAAGGTAAATATTTTAGAAAACACAAGTGAAAAAGAACTGGCAGGTTCGGGTTATACCCATTTCCTCTTAGGCACCATTAGGGAAGTTGACTTCATTTGTGACTGTGAGTTTGCTGTCATTATATTAAGTTCAAAGACTCTGTTAATTCTCTTAAAAGGAATGTCCAGGTGATCCGGAGACGGTTTAAAGATGTTTTTGAAAGGGCATCTTTGAACGAAGACAGGAGATTATTCATGTAAGTACATGTCAAGGTCCCATTAGCGGGGTACAAAATGCGGAACCTAGCTCGATGAAGGAGAGAAGTGTGAACTGTGTTTTTCTTACACATGTCCTGAAAATGGGCACTTCCAGTCAAAGTTGTTGACATTTTTGTTTCTCTCTAAGGTATAATAGCTTCTGCATTTTTTTTTTTAAATGTACCATTCCTTTTAAAGAAATCCCAGAGCTCGATTTTCTTAGAACTGAAAGTAATGTTTATTAGTGTTGGGTGTTTTTTACATGTATAAATTAGCTTTGTCACCTATAGAAGTATAAGCTCTCTCTTTTGAACTACAGCCTTGAGAGCCCCCCTCAGGTTTGCCCTGCTACGTTTGCTTATATGCATTGTAAAAAAACCTTAACTATTTCACGGAGTACCACAGCATGACTTTTCTGTTTTACCATCAATCTAAGTGCTACCAGGAATTGCTGAGAAACCTTTTTTGCATAGTTATTTGTGCCCATGTAAGAAGCATTGTGGTTCTTTGCTGTATTCCTTTTATAGATCTCTAGCATTTCATTCATTCTACTGAACTCTGTTTTTTCATCTCCATGCATCCTGGCCCAGTTCAAACAATTGAAGCCATAGTATGAAATCCATACATCTCAAACAGTGTGCTTATTAGTGTTGTTAAAACAAATTGAGGCGGCTCCTAGACCCAGCCATACAAGGAGGCAGGCATGCCCCAGAGCTTAGTTATGTAGTTCTATTAATATTTTTCACCAGTTTTAAATGTTGATATTTCCTTTCACATCTAGTTCCCTCGACTTTTAATTGGAAATTCTTGGGAAAGGCAGATTCTAACAGAATGCCTGCATTTCTTTTAGGCAGACAAGGTTCTTTGGGTGAATCTGATATCTTTTATTAGACCAACTTAAACAGTTGAGTGTCACGGCGCGGTCCTACAGGAGGGCTGTGATCTCCTTAAGGCCCCCTCTTCTGTGCCAAGTCGGCCCAAGAGCACCCTCTGATTCTCGCCCGCCACATCTTTGACGGTTTGAATTGGATGGGAGGCTGCCTTACATCTCCTTGGGCACGGTTAGTTGGGACCTCTGTCCCCGTGTTTTCCCGGACTCACTGGGGGTCTCTCTGTATGATGGGTGCTTCCCGGGCACCCTAGCCTTATGGGCTATGCGTGGCTCCAACCACCCCCGATACCACGCCCCAAGCCTCGCAGTTGGAATCAACGTCGGTCTGTCTCTCTCTCTCTACTCACGCCCGTCTCCCGGGCCTTCTCTGTTATGCCGCCCCCTCCTGGGGCTCTCTGTGCCCACTCGGGGCCTTCTCTGTACAGTGACCCTCTCTCTGGGGCCTTCTCAAGTGCTGCCCCCTTCTCTGGGGCTTGCCAGGCCCACCCTAGGGCTTCTCAATGAGGCGTTCCCGTCTCTGGGCTCGCCAGGCCCAACTTGGGCTTTCCAATAATATCGCCCCCTTTCTGGGGCTCGCCGTGCCCAATTTGGGCTTTTCTAATAATGTCACCCCCTTTCTGGGGCTCGCCGTGCCTGCGCTGGGGCTTCTCAATAGGGCCCCACCTGAGGCTTGCTACACCCGCACTGGGGCTTCTCAAATGCCCCCTCTCTGGGGCCGGGGGTCTAAGCACCCTGTAAGCTGCGCCCTCACTGGCACCGGGGCCCCCGCACTGCTGTGGGTTCTCCCTAAGTACGCTGCACCCTCACTGGCGCTGGGGTCCTCACACTCCGCTGTGAGGCCCCTTTGAGGATACTGTGCCCTCACCGGCGCCGGGGTTCTCACACTCCGTTGTGAGTCCCCGATGAGGCCTCCTCCAACCCTTTATAGCCTCACCCAAACCACTGGTTTAATAAACAACAAAATGCTACAGAAACTCAAGCCTCCTGGCTATAACATAATGTAAAGCCACCTGGCTAAACCACGTTGCACAAACACCCTAGAGCTGCCATCCATAACTCTGCTCAAGCAGTACCTGCGGGTCTCACTGCTTCTCACATCCCTACTCCGGGAGCTCTTGCCTCTCTGGCTGCTGGAAGGGAACTGCCAGCCTGGCCTCAGCCCTGGGCTTTATAAGAGCCAGCCTCTGCCTCCTACAGGCAGCTGACCGCTGGCAGGTGTGGGTCATTTGCTCCCTCCAGTTGCCCTGGCAACCCACAGGTGGGCTCCTATTCCCTGCTAGGGCTCCCTATGCACTGCCAGAGCTTTTCCTCTAGCAGTTTCTGCCCTCTAGGAGCAGGGCACCTCAGTGTTCTGCGACATTGAGGAAAAAAAAATTAAGCAAGCTTTCAGGTTTAAAAACCCTTCGTTGGGCTGAGGAAGTTTCTGCAGTTGGTGTGTGCTCTTCCTGGATGGAATGAAAAGTAAAGAAGCTAGAGGCTAGGTTGGTATTTATACAAGATAGGCAGTCAGTGAAGATGTTAATTGCGGAGTCAGTGGGTGAGAGACAGGCTGGGTGAAGGGGAGAGAAGTGGGATGAATAGTGGAAAGGAACCTGGGGAGTCAGATGTCAGGCAGGTTATAATGTGTCATAAATCCATGATTTTTAGTATCCAGGAGGTTGATGAAGTGGAGTTCATAGGCTCGTCTCTCGGGGGGGGTTTTTTAGTTTCCTTTGAGGATCAGGACTGAGAGATTGGAGAGAGAGTGGTTTTCTTGCAAGAAATGTGCTCCAACAGGTAATTGGGTATTCTTGTCTTTGATAGATTTCCGGTGTGCGTTCATTCTGGTGCAGAGTTGTTGTTTGGTCTCTCCTATGTATTTTCCATCAGGGCATTTGATGCATTGGATGAGATGTATTACATTTCTGGAGGTGCAGCTGCAAGATGCAGAAATGCTGATGGCTCTGTTGTGGGGTGTAATAGTTGTGAGGGTGGTGAAGATGTGTTGGCAGGTTTTGCATTTCTTGTCATGGCATGGTCTGGATCCATTTGGTGTGTTCTGGGCTGTAGGAAGTTTGCTTCTGGTGATGAGGTTAGTGAGGTTTGGTGCTTGTTTGAAGGCTAGGATGGGTGGCTCTGGGATAAAAAACAAAAAGGCTCTGGGTAAAATCAATGTCAATTGCTGAATTTGGACATGATTTGAATAGGGTGGGTATTCGGGCAATATGTGCTTTCTCAAGGAGTACAGAACCGTGCTCACATTCAAATTAGAGGTAGTATTTTCTTGAGGTCAGCAATGCACATAGCAATTGCTGCAATTGCCATAGGGATGCAGTACAGCAGCAAACAGGAGGGCCAGTAACCTGAGCACTGGGATAGGAGGTGCCTGCAGGGCTACCTGCCTAGAAAAACATGAAAAAATTGGGTAATGCTTTTGGAGTTGCTTAGCCTGAATGCCTCACTTCTAAAATTGCCAGTGGTCTGATGCATAAAGATAGCAAGTCCTACAGCTGCTCTTTTGGACTATGAAAAGTCTTGCCTGTTCATCTTCATTCAGTCATCCATTACGTGTTCCACTAGCCAGTCATTACACAAAGCTACTTCTGCCTGTTTAGTTCTTAACTGACATTCGGTCTCACTGTTGGGAGAGCCATCCCTTGTAAGTAGCCCAGAGACTGGAGGAGGATGGCATAATCTTTTGGTTTCTGTTTTAGAGATGGCCAGGAGGTTGCTGTGGTGTACTACAGAGAAGGTTATGTGCCAAAGAACTACAATAAACAGGTGAGTACTGACTGCTTTTGCATTTGCTTTTTTTAAAAAAGCACATGCAAATGTAAAATGCAGTGTTACCTCAAGTGTCCAAAACTGTTACCCTGAATGGGAATTGCTCATATCCCCAAGTCTGTTACTTGCATTGAAAATCTCCTGATGATCGGAACTTAGCGCCCCCCTGACATTTGGGTAACTCAGATTTGCGGGGTATCCAAGAAGTGGAACCAGGATTCTCCAGAAAACTTCCTGCTGCAAACTGTCATTGCCTTCATAAGAACAGTTCAGTGCTTTTACTAAGCTGAAGATAACATGCAATAGAAACCTACGCTTTTTGTTGGACAGAGCTAACCCTTTAATTAGAGACAGTGTGAGACCTGGAGTATTAACTTGGGCCTATGTTGAAAAAATACTTGATCTAAAATTCAGGTTAGCTTTACTTGAGAGGTTGCAGGAGATGAACAGGGATCCGGGTTTTTCGTTTGCCACAGAAAAAGGGGATTTTCTTTAAAGGAGTAAAACCCAAGAAACCACAGGTTTCACCTTGCAAGCTGGCAGACTTCCAGCTTGCAAGGGGCTGCTTGGGGCTGGGGAGAGCAGGCCACAGGGGGCACCACGTGCATATGCGCACACAAATACATGTGGCAGCCAGATAAGCTCCCTCCAGGTAAGTCTATGGGAGGGGGAAAGTGGGTGGGAGTTCACATGTGATACATGATGGGGCACAGGTCACTCAGCGGGGGGACAGGCAATATGAGGGAGTGGAGGGGGACACGTCCCTTCAGATTTCTGTACTCATAGTGGGGTGTGGAGCATTAGCCTGGCAGGACCAGTTCTGGGCAGGAGCTGCCTCCACAGCCCAGTGGGTGGGACTCAGGACAGGAAAGAGCACTATGCCACACCACCATGACCAGCAAGGTGAGGGACTCCCTGCCTGCCCAGCAACAGCAGCAGGCACAATGCCATGCCTCACCTTGGCCGTGGTGGTGCTGTGCTCCCTTCCACTCCAAGTCTCAACCACTGAGCTGTGGAAGCTGCTCCTGCCTGGAGCTGGTCCGGCCAGGCTGCAGGCCTGCATCCCATTGTGGGTACAGAAATCAGGAGGAGGCACATGCCCCCCCCCCCACGCGTTGTCTGTGCCCACACACACCCTTTCCCATGTATGCACCCCCTTCCACTTCCGGGTCTGCTGCCGAGTGCGCTGGGGACCCCCCACACTCCTGTGGGACGCTCCATGTGCCCCAGTATCACAGCATTCATGAGTCGCCTGCTACCTAGAGGTACGTAGAAAAAACATTTAAAGCTGTGTCTATGTCCAAATCACCAAATCTCTCTGAATTGGTTTGCAGGGTTCGGATTTGATTCAGAGAGATTAAAGGGTCCTCCGATTTGATTCAGATTCAGAAATTTGGCCACCGAATTCGGCTGAATCTCTGCCGAATCAAATTGGAAACCGAAGCTTCACACAGCCCTAATACCTATATATATAGTGGTGCTTCATTTTAATCACAGAAAACATGGATTTTGGGGGTTTTAATAAAAAATATTTGGATTTTTAAACTGAAAACCAGGATCCCTAGTGATGAGGTATTTCAGACCAGTGCCAGAGTTGCTGCTAAAGCTGCTGTTTGAGTGTAAATGCAAACAGTCAACTGAGGAAGTTAGACAGCATTAGACAATGGAGGATGGCCAGCCTTTGCTAGTGTTCTTTTGCTAGTGCTGTTCCCAGAAGCAAAAGTTAGAAGTCCATGTGTTGGTTACTGTGCACTGGTGCTCCTGCCTAGACTTTAACTATTAGCAATTGAATACTAAAGGGGGGCAAGGGAATTTAGATTAAATCAAGTAAGTGTTGCTTTGTTTACCTCTTAGAACTGGGAAGCACGGTTGTTGATGGAAAGCTCCAAAGCAGTCAAGTGTCCTGACATTGCTACCCAACTTGCAGGGACCAAAAAAGTTCAACAGGAGCTAAGCCAGCCTGGAACCTTAGAAAGACTGCTGCCCAACAATACAGAGTCTGTTGCTCGCCTGAGAGCAACCTTTACTGGCCTCTATGCTTTAGATATGGTAAGTAGTTGGTTTGTGAGTAAAGCAACAGTCCTGTGCGTGCCTTTTTGATCACAGCTGCTCTTAATTTGTGTGATTTTTTTTGTTTGTTTGTTTGTTTTTATGTTTTTTCAACTAGACCACAAGAGTAGGATACTGAAAACACTTGAAAATCCATCTCTCAGAGGTGGTATCAAAACTTAAGATTTTTACAAGCGAGAGAGAGAGCATTTTCTCTGGCTTATGGCAGAGGTGGGGCTACTGTTTATGCTTAGTTTAGGAACATGGATTATCTTGCTGCTTGCTAGAAAAGATATAAACGCAGATGGAAATATGCTGACATTTTGCTACTGTTACTTTTTTCTTCCTCTAGGACAAAGAAGGTGATAAGATGATTGCCATGGCCATTGCTGATCCAGACCGATTTGTTCTGAAGCCTCAGCGAGAGGGTGGAGGTATTGACTTCTGTTACATTTCATGAACTTCAGAGACCAGAAGCCTGTTGTTCACTAGGGGACTTGTTTTGTATTTTCAGGGGAGTACTTGAGCCTTGTCTGTCCAAGGCATCTCACTGTAATGCTCTGTGGCTAGAATAGTTGTTTCTTTTCAACACCTCCTGCTCCTCCAAGCTACAAGTCTTGAGTTGCACTACTGAGAGGTGCTGTAGAAAATCTTTTTTTTTTTTTCTCATGTCCTTTTCCTTTCCAAATAGAAGGAGCATTTTACTGTCCTTGTTCAGCATCCTCTGGTGGCTTAGTAGCTGGGGTTCTCCATCCCTTTCTTTTTCCTCCCGGAGCATGTTGGTGTTGAGAGCCAAGGAAAAGACAGATGTCTAATATTTTTTCCTGGAAGGTGTCAGGATTTTTCAGCATTCAAACCTATTAGGGCCTGTTTGGTAGCGCTGTGCCTGCTGTGCTCTTGTGAGCCTTTGTCAGTATAGGTTCTGAGGACTGCAGTTACGACTAGGTAATCTCTGAGAGATTCTAGGACCACAACAGTGAGGGACCCTTGAGTCCAAACCATGGGATGTAACCAGGAGTTCTCTGGAGACCAATGTAGTATCTGCAGTATGGGGATTATATTTACAACTACCTGTGTTTGTATAGCAGGGGACGTTTGTATTCTTTTCTATTTAGTGCTTCTTCAGGGCCTTCAGGTGGAAATGAATCAAATGGCTTTTGCAGCTGTTGGGATTTGTTTTAAATTGATAATTATTTGCATCAGGGAACAATCTGTATGGTGAAAACCTCAAGCAAGTTCTGGAGAAAACTAAAGACAGCCCAGAGAGAACTTCCTATATCCTAATGGATAAGATCAAGCCTCAGCCAATGATGAATTACTTGTTGAGGGCCCACTCTCCCTTGAAAATATCAGAATGCGTCTCTGAGTTGGGGATTTTTGGTGTCTACATCAGGTGAGGCTTTGGCTTGCTTTGCCATTTCACTTTGTCCAGGCCTGCATCATTCCCTGCACTTCAGTGAATTCTAACCAGCCCAGGTAGAAGGCATTGTAGTGAGACAGCACCAGCAAAAAAGGCGTGAAAGGGGGCATACACGTTCAGAACAGAAATGCAGCTTGCCACAGGTTCAGCA